ACGAACATGGCAAATAAACGAACATTTAAAGAAAATATTCAAGAAGAAAGTAACCACGTGAAAATACTCACGCGGGTAAAACTCCCATTGCAGATCCACTGCAATGATGCCAAATGAAACAAACAATGTTTTATCAGCATCTTTTATTATATTTTTTTTAATATATCATATGATGTTTTATTACATGTGAAAGTGATTAGTATATAGTATAGTGGTATATAGTGTAGCAAATATACATATATACATAAATAAATATTTGTATAAGGAAAAAATTAATCAGGGATTTTTTTTGGTAGCAAAAAAGTGACCCTTAACTACTTTTTTTTTTTTTTTTTTGATGTTACGACGTTGCCATTTTTAATTATCCAAAAAAAAATTATAGTAAAAGTTTTTTTTTTTTACTAGTTAAATGATTTTTATATAAAAAAAAAATGATATCGAAACAAAAAAAAAATTTTTATATTGTTTTAATTTTTCAAGTGACTCAGTATCAACAGTTTAAAAACTCTTTAAAAAAAACCTCCCTCCCCTCATTATTTTTAATGAATGGATTTCCCCCCTCCTCCCCTCAACAAAGGGGTTATTATTGTCAAAAAAAAATAAAAATGAAATCAATGAAAGTCGTTGCATTCACACGAGCAACAGCAGCAGGAGCAACAGTCGTAACATCCACCAAAAAAAAAAAAAAAAAAAAAATTATTAAACTATTTTCCAAAAAAAAAGGGATCGATAAATTTTTATTTGAGCCCCCAACGTTTTTTTTTTTTTTTCTTAAAAAAATCTAAAAAATTTTTATGAAACTTTTTTAAAAAAGGAAAAGTATATATATCATAATTTTTTTTTTTTTTATATATTAGAGAGTCGAACAAAAACTTTTCTTTTTTTGACCATTAGAAAATCCCAAAAGGACCTAAAGAACAAATAAAAAAATCCATAAGTTTATATAAAAAGTTTAAGTAAGCTTACTCTGGAGGAGTTCCTCTGAGGCTAAATTGACTAAAAACAATTTCGACCCTTTGTTTGGGTCCAGCAACAAACGTATATATACACTGGCGAGAGTGACCCCCTAAATTTGAAAAATTCGGAGCCGTAAATGTACCGTTTTGAGGACCGTTTGGACGACTCACGAACGTTTGGTCACACTCTGAAATAATAATAATAATAAAAAAAAAAATTATTACGTCACAACCAATAATAAATTATTTTATTACCTTTTTTATTGTGTTTTATTTTCTCTATGCAACTATAAGATAATTTTAAATAATTACTTTAATTATTAATCTACTGCAATTTAAAATAAATAAATAAATTATTATTATTTACATATGAAAATTAAAATAAATTTAATAATAATAATAATAATAATAATTAAGCATTAATTAATTAATTGTTTTTTTTTTAGAAATAATAAAAACGTTACCTTTTAACCAAAGCAAAAAAAAAAATTTTTTTATGTTTTTACGCTTATTAAAAAGGGGGACCAAAAATTGGCACGTTTAGTTTACACATAAAAAATTTTAATAATTTTTTAAACATTGCAAAAAAAATTAATCAATGAAAGAATGTTTTCACGTCGTTCAAAATATTTTTTTTTTTTTGAGGCAATAAAAGGTTAATAAAAATAGTGTTAGGTCAAGAATAATAATAATAATAATAATTTATCTTGATATTATTATTATTATTATTAACATAAAGTACATTTTAAATATTGAATTGCATGACAGAAGGCGATTTATTTAACCCCAAAAAATAAAAAATAAAAAAATTATTTTCATTAATGTTTGAATTTCATCGTCAAAAAAAAAAAAAAAATACATTTTATGGAAATTATTATTATTATCATTCGAAAAAATGTGTTCATTCACTTTGAGTGTTCATAAATGATAAACTAAAAAATTTTTTTTTTATCAATAACTAATGTATTTGAAATTTATTATTATTATTGATATTAAAATGGCAGAAAACGTAGAATTTTGCAATATTTAAATTTTTATTATAAAACATAAAAATAAAATTTCAATTTATATTTTTTTTTACTCACGCAATTTTTTTATGATAAATTTGAGTATAAAATAAATGATTAAATAATTAATTTTATACGGAAATCATTATGGAAGAGGGTGAGGGGGAGGAAGGGGGAGGATAAAAGAAACATCTTTAAAAAAAAATGGAAGAAGTAAAATATCAAAGGTTTTTTAAAGGTTCTGATTGATTGATTGATTTTTTTACACTGATCGATCGATGAATGAATGAATGATGCTAATATTAAATTTTGTGACGTAACGTTCATTTAATGATGACGTAATTACTCCACGATAAATCTTAAGTATCACTTAAGCTTATAAGAAAAAAAAAAAAAAAAACAATATTTTTAGCATTTAAAATTGTTTTTTTTTTTTTTTATTAAATTCTGTAATATGTATTATTATTATTATATTGAATTTAAAAAAAAATTAAATTATTTATAATATCTTATTCAGCATTTTTTCTTACATCACAAAACAAAAAAAAAAAAAAATAGAAAAAAAAAAGAGAAAAAGAGGCAAACTTACCTTATTACGGGCATCGCTAAGAGGATGTGCTCTGTACATTTTGTCCCATAAAAATAATAAGAAGTATAAAAACTAGTAAAAGAACTAGAATGCAGCAAATAGCCACTGCCACCATCATGGGGCAAAAATTTAAAAAAAGAGGGAATTCCGGCCCCCTCTTTTACATATTTATTTAAAAAATTAAATAAATCAAAAATTTATATAAAAATAAAACAAAAGTTTTTGATGACATTATTTTTAAAAATCGACAACGACGACGACGACGACGATGACGATGACGACGTGTTTTAATTATTTAAATTACCAAAAAAAAATATTT